ACATTAATTACAGGATAGTAGTTAATATTAATACATGTTTCCAGATTTTTCAAGATATGTTTACACCTTGTTGAATTGAATTTTAACGAGTTGGCACGCCATATTCAGTGTCACTTCGCAGCCAAAGTTGATTAATGAATCATTTATGTGATGCATAATTTAAACTGAAGTATTTCAAATTAATATATTTATTTCAAATTGCATTAGTAAACACTTATTTTCTGATTACTGCAAGTTGAAGAATATGTATTCAAGAAAATGTGTACCTGTTTAAATAAACAGGATAATAATTACAAATCACATTTCCGCTTACCCGTGTAAAGTGTATATATTTGTTTAATCCCGCATCATTCTAAGTATAATAGAATAACATTTAAATTTACTGATATTTCAGAATAAGATATTTAATTGTCCTAGAATTTAGATTCAAGATGTGAAAGATAAAGAGTCTCTTATGAATATTATGAAGTCTTGAAAAAAGTTTGAACATAAAACATAAATAAATTTACTGAAACCTGGCATCTCGATTAATTTAATGTACACGATAGGAGTGATTACTCAGAAACCCTGGAATATATATAAATATAATTAGAAAGAATATCGACGATTTTTTAAAAATACATTCTCGATTTCTCTTTAATATTCATTATATGAAACTCAAGTGAAACACCCTTAAGGAAATACATTTTTTCCTGATGAAATTTTCTGTGTTTTAATAACCATCTCCTTTTGTCTTCTAGTGTTTAAACGCTTAATTTATCTTGTTTTATTTTTGCTATTGATTATACATGCATACAACGACTTTTTAGAACCTCCGATTTCCAGGACCATATAGAAAAAGTTCATTGAAAGCTTTTATGATATGAGGGTTAACTTCCTAACAGTTATAGTCACAATTAGTCATGTCTAATCTAATACCGTTATCCATTCTAGCTCTAATATACAAACATTTTCATTTAAACATTCATTAATTTTAAAAAAATGTATATATATATATATATATATATAGAGAGAGAGAGAGAGACACACACACACACCACATATATATTATTCTAAAATTTAAAATGAGTGAAGTTAATAGAGTGTAAAAGATGTCAACTGAATGCTATTTATAAAAATAGATATATCATTAATAATGTGCACTTTTTGTACTTCCTGTTAAAGAATGCACGTGTTGCCAGTCGTCGAAAGACAATAACTATACTTGATCAGTTATACGTTTAGTGACTGCTTCGGTTTAAATTAATGTTTCATATTTACCATTTAATGGTGAATGATTTATGGGAGTAAAGTGTGCCATGTAGTGACTGTTATTTATACAACACCGTCTATAGGAATCATCATTTAGCTCTAAATAGGCTAAATATAGTTAAAAACAAAAACTGGAATGAATGTTTAGGTTCACTTGGTGTGGAACAGACCTCATGAATGCAAAGAAATGATCTTAAATACTATGGTATCTAATAAGTTTTTCTTCTAGTGCTTTTGGCGTGCTTCACTATACACTGTGTTATTGACATATATATATATATATATTTATATTACATTTTGCTTTGGTAATAAGATATAACAAACTTTAGGACAAAATTATTTCCTTGATGAAAATAGGAATTCATTTTATCTCTCTTTATCGACTTTGACTTATTTAATTACTTGATAAAAGTAGACACTTTTGTCGTAAATAAATTTTATAATTATATATTTTCTTACAGAAATGTCTAGCTTTTCAAGATAAAATTATTTCAAAATCGATGGGAAATTATAATGATAATATTGAGAAAACTATTACAAAACTCTTGGAATGAATTGTGTTAGTGACTAAGTTATTATAAATTTTGCAGGTATATCACCAAGAGTATTTGAAGAATTAAAGTTTTAAATGCTTTTTACGTTTTGTGGTTTAGCATTATTATGGGTTAATTGCATTTTATAAGAATGATGCTACAAGTTCCATGCAACCTTTAGAATCAGTCCTTCAAGTTGATCTCAATTATTCTGATGGATGCACTGTTGCCAGATGCCACGATATCCATTAAAATAAGAACATTTTTCGAAGTTTTCTCACACACTCCACTGTATGAAGACGTCCACTTCAAATACTACTTCTAAGTAAACCAAAGGCACACAAGTCCATTGAAACAGCATCGGGGAACTTGACAGGTATATCAAGTCAAATGTGGTTGCTTTGATCCAATTTCTTCTGCTATCTTTCTCATATAAAGTGTTATCGATTTCGAGGCGTAATTGTTCATCTTGTGAGCCTTCGTCAACTTCATATTCTTAGTTATTATTTCATTATTACTAAGATATGTATACCCAGTTTTATTGCAAATGCTTCTCAAGTCTGAGAGTTTTCTTGATCGTAGCCGTGGCTCACTTTGAGGATGAAGACGTTACCTTTAACTGGCTTAGATCATGGTTTCATTAGTGTCGTTAACGTTCTCCTGTACTAATTTTTCTCTCTATTAAGAATCTATAAAGTTTCTTTCTTCGAAATGTTATGTCATTTGTTCCTGCATCGTTAAATAATTCCGCTGTTTGAATAGTTATCTTGGGAAACATTGAAGTGCCTTTTCTCTAAAAAAAGTCTATTGTCATGTAAAATTGCTGCAGGGCCATTTTTAGAGAACAAATGAAGAGGGTAAAGTATCATCATTATCTGATCTTCAGTATTTAACTATACTTTTAATACAGGTCTTTAATTAGCCTTAACGTTATCATACTTCACCATGTCATAGTATAGATATACTTTAGGTTTGTATGAATTGCAGTTTGCAATATAGTTTTATTTTGACGTGAAATAACAAAACATTTTACTAAGTTATATTGATTCTACTGCATTAGTTAAAGTATGAAAAAAACATGAACAAGAAAGACATTTATCAACTAATTGTAATATCTCTCTCTATAATGATATTTTTAAAAGGTATCCGTTGTCATATTTACCGAATAACAGTCTTTCACTAACTAGGAATTCAGATCCATATTTATCGGAGATTATTTTAATGACAAACGTTTTTCTGAATATTGTTATGTTTTAAAGTAACATAAACAAAAATGCCAAAAATTTGCGAGAGGCTTATATTTGAAAGTCTTTTCAAAACATTTCGATGAACTATCATTCACAACAAAACCATAGATAGATTACGCCCAAGACAATAGTAAAACTGGACATTGTATTTTACTGCATCACAATTTATTGCAGTCAGAGTTAACACAGTCACTGTATGTATATATGTTATTTGAGGTCTATAAAAATATATTGTTTCATTTAAAATCTATATAAGTCTCCATGTATTCTTCGCAAGCAAAATAAATGTTTTCAAATGATGTTAGCATTATAACTAGAAAACTCATGGACTTAAAACACACATTTGATTTCCAGACAACGTTTACATCAATTACTCTGGAGAAGTTTCTATAACGATCTTGGAAGGTTGATCTTAAGATATTAATCTGTGTTTTTTCTATATATATATACATATATATTTCAAAGTTATGGTTACTTAATATTTCACTGCAACGTTTTTATAGATTTTTATTTTTCAATATT